TCGATAGTTTCTCTGGCAACCTTATGATTTCTCTAAATTACATGCTTGATTTAATTCATAGTCATTCATTTGGGAAGAATATTACATATGTATGGATGTTAAATTCAATTATGCTTATAAAAATACAATAAAAATAAGTATGGGATATAATAAAATAGAAACATAAAAATCTGATCTTAAAAAGGTAAACTCTTTTAGTTGCTTTTGGAATTCATAAATATTTCTTTTCTGTCAGAAGTTTTGTTAGAAAATGTAAGTGATATAATCAACAAGCATATGATATTTATCAAATTAATAAAACCAAATTTATAAATCATAAAATTTTGAGGACAGTTTCTCAACTATAATATGTAACTTTGTTTTATTTGTAATTGCATTATTTCAAAAATATTATAAGAAAAGAAAAAAGTACATATAATATTTGAAGATCATATCAAACTAATAATGTATTTTATCAGTTTGTGTTGCATAAATTTTTATTTCATATTCTTTTTTTGCTGTTATATATATGTATATTTGAAATTTTTTATTTAGTACCTTCATTTCTTGTTGTCATGTATGTTTGCAATCTTTAATAAAAAATAAATAAATAAATTTCTCTGTTTAATTTGCAATTCTTTTTATTTTTATTAAAAATCTTTGGTTACTGATTATAAAACTAATTCTTTTAGATTATATACATCTTCAACTCTGGATTCACTTTAATCTTTAGTTTTGCTATATCACATATGTTTTTTCAGTTTTATAGTTTTATTCTTACTCAATTAAAATAAAGTCAATTCTTCCTATGATTTTTGCTTTAGCTCACAACTTATTGAGATGTGTGCTATTTGGTTTCCAAATATTTTTGATGAACATTTCATTACTAATTTCTAATTTAGTTTTATTGCTATCAGGGCATACTTTTAGAAGTTTAAATGTTTGAATAATGTTAGGGTTTGCTTTTGGCCAGTTAAACATCTATTCTACATGTTCTTGAAATGAATTGCATGGGAAGGGAGGAGGTGGTAAAGGGAGGGCAGGGGTATGGGGAAAAATGAGAACCAAGACCTGTCATGTAAAGGTACAAGATCCCAATAATGAATGTAACTGTACTGTATACCTAAAATGTACCAATAAACTCAATGAAAGAGGGAAAAAAAGACTATGGTTTCAATATTCATCCATTTAGCTATAAATGCCTCTAATATCTCATTCTTTATAGCTGAGTGGTACTCCGTTTTATTTAAAAAAAAAACATAAGTATTCTTTATCCAGTCTCCAGTTAATGTGCAATTGAGCTGTTTCCATATTTTAGCTATTACAAACTGTGCTGCCATGAACATGGGTGCACATATATCGCTGTGATATGATTCTTTTAATATTTTTGGAAACATGCCCAGGAGAGGAATAGCTGGGTCAAATGGGACCTCTAATCCCAGCTCTTTGAGTTATCTCCATATTGATTTCCACAGTGATTGCACCAGTCTGCACTCTCACCAACAATGGAGAAGGGTTCCTTTCTACCCACAACCCCACCACATTTTTTATTGTGTGAATTCTTGATAGGAGCCATTGTTTCTGGGGTGAGGCGGAATCTCAGTGTTATTTCTCTCTGATTTTCTTTTCCCACATTTCAAATGATTGCAGATCATCATGCTCTGACTCATGACTCAATATTTCCTTGTTCTCATTATTTCTGATGAAGTGCCTAAATATATTTTGGCTAGAACTGTCAAGTAATGAACATATTTCTTCTGCAAAGTAGGGACTGGCCTCAGAAGGGTGATAACCACTCCAGGGATCAGATTTGTGATATCCTCTTGAGATCATTTCAGATTCTACAAAAAGCCAGGGGAAGAAAGTGCTAAAGGAAGAAGATGAGAGACACTTAGTTATTAATACCTTTCTGAATCTAAAATCTGTCAGAAAATGTATTTTCTATCCACTGTGCTTGTAGTCCTGCTAGGTATTTGTTTATTTGGGTGAGTTTCTTCTCCGTGTTCTAGGAATGCTTATAGTTGAGGACTGTTAATTGTAGAAAAATTAAAGAGGGAATAGAAAAAAAAACTAATTGAATGATCTTAATCCCGTTTTAGCAAAATTTCTGTTGGCCTGGTCAACTTGCTTTTCTCTATCTAAAATGTATGTTTGGTTGTCTTATGACCAATTTGTAAGACATACTAGATTCATGTCACTGAGAGATCGAAGAGAAACAAATATGATTTAAAACTCTCATTATAATTGAATATGAAGAAACTTAATGGATGCTTCTGATAATTGAGCAAGATGAAAACAAGAATGACTTTCCAATGTCATTTTTATGTACAAGTAATTGTAACAGTTCTTGGTTTATTAAAATTTTAAATAAGAAGAGATACTCTGAGTTTGTGTGTGCTGTGTGTGTGTGTGTGTGTGTGTGTGTTTGTGTTTTAAAGATGTGGACAGATGACAAAAAGAATATAAGTATTCTACTGTCTGTGACAGTTTCATTATCTGATTGTATTGTTGTAGTGTCTATAGTGACCTAAGCTCAAAGTCCACCCCCTGAAATGTAATCTTTTCTGTAAAAGAGACATTAACATTTTCCCTTTTTTACTTATTTTCTGTCTTTTACTTATTTTCTGTCTTCATTTACTATACCCGTCTCATTTTCCACTACATTACCAGGTTCATTTTCTGAAATGGCACACAATGCATACTTTACTGTCAGAGAAGCAATCTTTAAATTAGTCTTCCCGTTCATGCCATTCCTACCTCCTCACTGAAACTTTAGAAGGGGATACGATTATTTGTCAGGTGAATTTGCTCCATTGTTTTAATGTTCTCAATTTGTTGACTCCACCGAGGTGCGCACAGGCCTGGGGCATCACGCAGCTGCTTCAGTACTGATCATTGTGCTCATGTGAATGTCACATTGTTTCTGCTTATGTGAATGTCACATCCTCCAGGTCTGGCTGATCGAAGTAGTTCAGCTCTGGAAATTCACTTTCTAATGGAGTTTTTAACCAATTCTTTCTTCAGAGTCTTTTTCCTTTGTGTATTCTGTCTTATGTTTCTTCAAGAAACAAGTAGTGGGCCAGGGATTTGGCTCAGTAGCACTGCCGTCTGCCTTGAGAGCACAAGTTACTGAGTTCAATCCCCTAAAGAAAGAAAGAAAGAAAGAAAGAAAGAAAGAAAGAAAGAAAGAACAAGAAAGAAATCAGCATCTGTCTTCACAGAAGTCCTCAGTACTTCTGACAAGCATTTCCTACCAGATATGAATTGCTTAATGAAATTATAAATCATTAGTTATTATGGTGATACTAGAGCTAACTTTTACTTTTATCCCTAATTAGATTAACAACAAATTCATAAATAATTGCCTTAAATGTACTTTCTTTCTGCAGCTGCAGTAGGTTTTACATTCAACAGTGTGTGTCACCTTCATCTTCACCAGATAAATTAACCTATATTAGCAATCGCTTTTAGGGAATTCATCACTATTTCCACCTAACTTCATTTCATATTGATTTCAAAAGGAATTTGTTTATATAAAGTATATATATTTATTCTATATCTATTGTCTTGGCCTTAGCTTGTTGATGTTTGTTGCTACTGCATCTCATGAAACAAGATCTTCTACTTTCTATCGATTGCTTAAACTTTTATATTTTATTACATTGGTGAATACCTAACTTTATCCACATAATGTGTTACTACTGACTATGAATCAGTCCATTCTTTTTCTGGAATTTTACAAAAGTAGCTTGTCTAGCTTCCTATCAGTGAAAAGAAGCCTAATTCAGAGAAGTTCTCCTTTTTCAGTTGATGTACTTGGCTGTGGCACAATTATAGGAAAATAGTATAAAAATTTTAAGCTTATGCAACTGTCCAGGGAAATCATATATTTAAATCTAATTATAGATAATGTTGTTTTAAACTTTATTTGGTCGTTTTCCAAAGAAAGAAGTGAAGTAAAATATAAAAATGACCAGACATTTAGGGTGGACGAGAAGAGAGACAGTATATTCAAAAGGGTCAGGAGTTATTTTCACTTCCAAGTAGTAAAATGAAATGGAAAGATGCACCTAAGTTACATTGAGATCTACTACAGCCCAAATCTTTGCATCTCAGGCACATTAATGGCCTGAATGTATTTAATCCACAGAGATTATCCAACAGGAGAGGTGTTTAGGGTGAACAACCAGTTTATTGACCCTTCATATTTCACTAACCTCTTACCTATTTCCTCAACTTTCCTTTCTTGTCAGATCTCTGAGTATTCAGATCATTTTCCATTCCATTCTGTTAATACTCATGATGGATAGTAACTGCAAGTGCAACATGCTCGGCCACTACTGAATAAAGAATCAACTATCAAATTCCTCCAGGAACCTAAAACCTTGACCCATCCATAAATAATCCAATCAATATTGCTTAAAGAAGAAAACTCTTAAATTGGTTCAGCAATTGATTCCTAAACTGTGAAAAAAAAAATGTAGTTTACAATTTAAACATGAGAACATTTGAAGACCGAACAATGTTTCACAACGGAACATTCTGAACTTCGAGTTAATTGGAAAGGGTTTATGGGATTGAGGACATATAGTATGGCTTCAAGCATCACGGAGGAATTTATCCTAATCTTTATTGTGTCTGGAGTTTCAAGATAGATGTAAACAAAAAATTAAGATTGCCACCTCTGATGCCTTCTGAGAAGACTTTGGAGGCTAGCAGAATTGGTGTTCTGTTCATTGGACACCATAGTTTCCATTTAAACAAGTTCTTAGGAATGAACTTTGGATTGCATTTCTTATCCACAAATATGCACTTTTTTTTTTTTAAGATAGCACTCTATTCTGATGTTGAAATGAATTGATACCTAAAGATTAAAGATTAAAGCTGCATGGTCAAATTTCCATCCATATTTATCATGTTCCAAGAGGGAATACGAGGACAGCTCCCTTCTCCTTCTCATTCTTAATTTTTCTCTGAATAGGTCACAGAATAAATGGTGATTTGAGGATACAACCAGCCTCATGGGGTCCACCAACATTTCATATCTAAACCCAAGGACAGTGATCTTGATTGGTATCCCTGGACTAGAGAATGTGCAGTTTTGGATTGGATTTCCTTTCTTTGGACTGTGCTTGGTAGCTCTGCTGGGGAACATTCTATTACTAATCATTATCCCTAAAGAACGCAGTTTACACCAACCCATGTACATCTTCCTGGCAGTATTGGCCGCTACTGACTTAGGTCTTTGTGTAGCTATTGCACCTAAGATGTTGGCTATTTTCTGGTTTGGCTCTCGCTCCATGGCTTTTGATGCGTGCCTCACCCAGCTCTTCTTCGTTCACGCCTTGCAGGGCATGGAATCTGGCATGCTCTTGGCTATGGCCTTTGACCGTTACATTGCCATCCGTCATCCATTGAGGTATATATCCATCCTCACACCTTTCTTTCTAGCTCGAGTGGTGCTGATGGTGGCAATCCGGGCAACCGTACTGGTTGGGATTTTGCCCATTTTATTGAAACAACTGAAACTTTTCCACTCTTTCATTGTTGTCCATTCTTACTGTGAGCACATGGCTGTAGTCAAGATGGCTGCAGAAGACATTCATATTAACAAGTCATATGGGCTCTTTGTGGCTTTTGCAATTCTAGGGTTTGACATAGTCTTTGTCTTCATCTCCTACATTCTGATTTTTCAGGCAGTATTTCATCTTCCCCAGAAAGAGGCACGAATCAAAGCCTTCAATACTTGTACTGCTCATATTGTTGTCTTCTTGGAATTTTACATCCTTGCTTTTTTTTCTTTCTTCAGTCACCGTTTTGGTCATGTGTCACCATATGTCCACATCCTCTTGTCTACCCTCTACTTACTTGTTCCCCCTGCCCTTAACCCTCTTGTCTATGGTGTGAAGACCAAGGAGATTCGCATAAAGGTTGCTCAGGCTTTTATTCTGAAATTTGATACCCAGCAGTGACATCACAGACAATATGTAAGAGGAAAAATACCCATTTGCCTGTTCATGGTGAAAACTCTTGTATAATTGCAGTGGAATCTTTGCATTACAATGATCTCCCCTAAAGAATTTATATTCCCTAAAGAAGAAAGCCAATAAATTTGCATATAAACTATGCATGTACCTTATAAATACTTTCCATACCTGCTCTGTCCCTTTTTAACTCTCTTCAGTTTTTCCTTTTGCTGTTTTCTCGCTGTCCTCATTTCTTCTTTTTTCTTTCTATCCTGACTTCTTCTTTTCTGTTCCTTATCAATCACGTATTTCTTGCGTCTTTCTGTAAGACCAAAGTGAGTTTATTGTTTGGATATGTAAGAGTGACAGAAGCATCCTTTATATTGCTATAGAGATTATATAGAAATAGTAGGCAAATATAATTAATTATTTAGTCGATAGTAAGATTTTAAATAATAGATTGTTTCATACGTAAGAAGGAATAATATTTTAAAAGAAATTATAAAAGAAAGAAAGTTCAGTGCAAATGAGAGATTTGAGCAACAAATTTTATATCAGATAGGGAAATTTTACTTACTATAATTCCAATCACTTTTTTAAATCACTATCATAATTCATATATATGTGCAGTTGTGTGACTCTTCCTGGAGTATGGAAATAGCAAAAAGAAGATTCATCTCTGCCTCAATGGGGATCAAACTATATAAATCCAGCCAGGCATGGTGGTGCATGCCTGTAATCCCAGCACTTGGGAGGCTGAGGCAGGAGGATCTCTGTGAGTTCAAGACCAGCCTGGACTACATAGTCAGTTTCAGGTCAGTCTCAACTATATAGTGAGACCTTGTCTCAAAAACAAAAACAAAAACAAAAACTATATAAATCCTTTCTCAGTAGGGGATTATATGCTAATAGTCCAGTCTTTTGACACTTGTTTTTATTTAACTATAAAAATATAGTCTTTTATTGAATAAGAAAATGACTCCAATTTTGAGACCAGCATTGCTTCTGATAGCCTTGGAAAGAGCGTGTTATCTGCTGGTGTAAGTTAAACTCATAATAAATAGATTCATTTTTTAAACCAAAGTCCATTAGGAGAAAATATGGAGAGTTTTTAGATGTAATCTGTTAGGTTAATCAGGTTCTGTGATGAGCATGCAACAGTGTCCCTTTTCCTATTCTGTCACAGTGAATCAAAAGGACTTGTAAGCTAGAGAAGAACAAAACACTGAGACATTTAGCTGTGTTCTCAGTTTCCTTGTCATGTCAAATAGTTTTCTCAAGGGTGTCTGTTAAGAGAAGGCAATACACCATTCACATTCACTGGTTCTAATTATAAAAAGAAAAGAGGTACAACTTCCCCTAGAGATGAATAGCAGTGATTAATGCTCTAAATGGACATCAATCTCCTTAGCCCATTTCCTTTCCAGAAATTTCTCATACACAACTTGTTTTCCCATTTAATCAACAATACCTGGGTGTGCGTACTTGTAATCTTATTGGTTGGTCACGGTTTTGCCCCACTTTTAACCTGCCTCACCTCATGGTTTTGCTCAATAAAACAATGTAGAAAAGCAAAGAGGGTGGGCAACCCACTTTCCGGTCCCCTTTCTGTGTCTCTCAGACAGAAGCTATCTTTCTTTCAAAACTTTGTTCCTACTCTTGACCTCCATTGTTCCTAGAACTCACTCTTCCATTTTAGAGACCATGAACTCATGCTTTGTATATCTAGTATGTTTGGGAGTCATGTCTCTTCCCCCTATGTCATACCCTCAGATCTTTCCAGCCTCAAGCGCTTTTTGTAATGAAGCCACCAGGTGCAGCACCATAAGTGAGAATAGTAAGCTAAGTTCAGCCAACCAAAGAGCTAAATTCTGCAGTTGTTTGTAACTCTGCAAAAGATAACTTTAATAAATGAGAAGCAGAATTTACTTTAGAGAACAAATTGGACCGCTGGTGCTTAGAGAGAATGTCATAAATAATATTCAAAACCAGGATTGAAGAGACCTCACTCTGAGACTACTGCAGTGGAGAGGAAAATGAGGCAGGAAAACAAAATGCTGACCTCTACTTAGCCTCTTCCATGTCTGCTCTGTTCCTATTTTCTTCCCTTATTTTCTTCTCTTATTTTATTTTCCTATTCTATTATTTTAGTGGGTGGGTTAAATGTTTAAATGAATACATTATCTCATGGCCTTTTTCTCAGGAGACAAATTATTTGAAAATGAGTGTTATCATTCATAGGAAAATGGATACATATTGAGGATATACTCAAGTGAAATAAATAAGTCACACATGTGTAAATACCAAATAGTTTCTATGGTGTGAAAAACTATAATTGTACATAAGATCCTAAAGGTATAAAGGGGCTAAAGGTATAGGGAAAGTGGGAAGGGTAGGGGAAAATATATAAGGGAAAAGAAAAAAATATGAGAAAATTAAAAAATGGGAATAAAGTATTTGTAAATAGGGAAGGGAGGAGGGGGTGAAGGCAGGGCAGGGTTATGGGGAAAAATGAGAACCAAGACCTGTCCTGTAAAGGTACAAGATCCCAATGATAAATGTAACTGTACTGTATACCTAAAATGTACCAATAAACTCAATGAGAAAAAAATGAGATTTATGCATTCAAAATATTTATTAAACTCATGCCATGAAAATTCTAGATCCTATGAAAACAAGAATAGACTGTTCATTTTAGGGTAGAAACTTTGAAAGAGTCAATGTCATATTTTGTGATTTGAACCATTATTGAGGGAAGAAAAGAGGCCATTAGGAAAAGGAAATAATCAGTAAAGGGAAATAAGAAGAGTAACTTCAAAGAAGGCAGAAAGAAGGAAGCATGCGTATGGATGGATTCTAGAAGCTGAATAAGCGAATGTGGTGGCAACATGGAGATGGACTGTCAACTTATTCGAGCAAAAATTGGTGAATGAAAACTTGGTGTATGATAACTCCATGGAGATTAATATATATTAATATGTATATTATTATATATGTTTCTATACATATACATAGTGTTTTGCATGTATGACAGAGGAGGTGTATGAATATATAGATATATGAGCATGAAATCTTGAGTCAGAGAGACAGAGCTAGTAAGTTGTTTATACATAGATAAAGGGATTAGAGGTATGTATATGAAAAAGTGTATATTTATGCGTATTTGTGAGGTTAAATATAATCTGTGCTTGTGTTTGTTCTACATTCACCTAGGGATATGCAGCTGTAAGAAACAGAGGTGAGAGTTTAAGTGTGAGTTTCCCATCTATATTCCTTGGTTTACTCTTGCCTAATGATATCTGTAACAGTGAGATATTAGTTTAAAGCCTGTGAACAACTGAACTACCTGGCATGGCCCCTGCTGGTAACTACAAGTCACTGGAGCAGGAATGGCAAAGTTGCACAAACAACTGTGATACAAAGCAGATCGTAGGCAACAAAATCTGGAAAAAACCCTAAGTCAATCAAAGGTTAGATTGATATCATTTACAGATAGTCATTAAGGACAACAATTGAGATAAATGTCTCAATGTGAGAAAAATTTTCACTAAGGAAAATTGAGCTAACATGCCTTCCAACTGTCAGGAAAAACAGCTAAAGTGGTAAGGAATATATAATTCTTTACAAATGAAACAGTCAAGTTTGGCTGAATTGATGGTTCTTCCATGATTTGTTGAGAACAGGATGCCTGGCGAGGTAGGCTGGTGGTCAGTCACGTTGTAATTTTAACATCACACAGTGACATTAAGTTTTAACCTTGAGAAACAGAATGTTGAAGGTTTTAAGTGGATGAAATGAGCTATTTGTTTGAGAAAGACAACTCCAGCTGCCGTGTTAACAACGTTGAACAAGAGAGAAATGAGAGATAGGAAGGTTAATTAGAAAGATTTTATATTCTAGAAATGCATGCAAGTGACAAAGGTATAAGGTAGAAAACAGGTAGTAGAAATGTACAACCTAATTATTGTGATCAGTTGTATGAAGATACAGAAAAAGTAGGCAATTTCAAGTTTCTAAAAGGAATTTAATTCGAGTCCAATGAACAAAGGGGGCAAATATAGGGAACCAATTTAGTTGGCCAGTAGATCAAGAGTTTATCAACAATGCAATATTTATTGTATATTACTGAAGATGATATTTCCCTTTTGTTTTCTTTAGTTTTTCTAAAGCACTTGAGCAGAGAAAGGTAGCTCATTACTCACTTATGTACTTACAGAAATTTGTATATACTTATTTTATTGGGATTATTTTCCAAGATACATTATTTTGCACTGGTGAAATAGTTAAAATGGAAATATGGAAGAGAAAAATTAAATCAACACACATTTTAATAATTATTTTTATCCAAGAATCTAAATAATATGCACCTAAATTGTATTTAACCTCATTTGTAAAGTGTCTCTAATTTATATGACATGATGTGATTAAACAATAAAATATGGAGCAAAACATTATACTATTTTATTGTTTATATAACTGTTTAAGGAATGTTCTGTTTATAAGAATTTCATAACAATTGGACCTGGTAGAAAAAAAAAATGCTCAGAATACATTCCCGAAGAGTCTCTTTTACATCGGTTATTCATTTTCTTTCAAAACCTCAATCCTGGAAGGAATTATCTTTACTTATAACCTAATATTACATCCAGCTCCACATCACCAGCTCTCCTGTCCATCAAAGGTACCAACCTCAATCTGCCTGACCGTGGAAGATTCACAATACCCACTCCCGGATTTGTTGGGTCCGTGCTCCATAAATCAGAGGGTTAACCATGGGAGGGACCAGGAAGTAAAGGTTGTCAATGATGATCTGTAGATGGGGAGCCATACGGTAGCCGAAAATCTGGGCCAGGACAGAAAAGACAACAGGAGAATAAAAGAGGCCAATAACACAAAAATGAGAGCCACATGTGCTGAGAGCTTTGCCTCGTGCTTCGCAAGACGGTATCCGAAAGACAGCGTGAAGGATGAGTCCATAGGACAGAATGATAAAAAACAAATCAAATCCCACGGATGCTACTATAACCATGAGGCCATAGACAATGTGGTCAGAGATGTCTCCACAGGCTATCATCACCACAGCCATGTAGGCACAGTAAGAGTAAGCAATTACGTGGGTTTGGAAGCTTTCCAGTCTTTTTGCCAAGATGGGTGCTGGGGTCAGCACTGCTATTGCTCTTGCCAGGATAGCTAGTGCCATCTTTACAAGTACTTTCATATCAAAGATGGTTACATATCTCAGAGGATACCAGATAGCCACAAATCTGTCAAAAGCCATGGCCAGGAGGATCCCAGATTCCATGACATAAAAGGAAGGGATGAAAAACATCTGTGTGAGGCAGGCATCAAAGCTGATTTCCTTGGCATTCATCCAGAATATACCCAGCATGCGGGGCACAGTGACACTGACCAAGCAGAGGTCAACAACTGATAGCATAGCCAGGAGGAGAAACATGGGCTCATGAAGACTCTTCTCTATCCGGATGATACATACAATGGTGATGTTGCCCATGATCGTAATGACAAATATCAAGAAAAAAGGCACAGAGAACCAGCCGTGGGAAGATTCCAGGCCAGGTATTCCAGCTAGAACAAATTTCAAGGGCCGAGGAATGGAGTTGTTGCACGTAGACATCCTTAGCCTGAACCCCTAAAGATTTGATTCCTAGGGAGGAAGGCACAGAAGCATTTTGGTCACTGAATTATCTGCAGCTACGTATTGTTGGTTATAATAGTGTTTTACGGAGATAGTTGTGATTATATTATGTAAACTAAGCATCAAATAGTCTTCAGCTATTCAGGATGCATAGGAGGATCATTCTGGACAAATTTCTTTGCAAAAGGAAGAAGCACGCTCAGGAATAAACTCTGCATAAATATATAACAAGTTCACAGTTTAGCATTTGCTGCAGCCCGGATTCTGTCTAACATTGAACACTTGCAATTCTCCAGCATTAATTCCTGGATACTGGACATGGAAAGACAATATTTATCACATCATAGGCAGGGATTAGTTGTATAAAAGATCCAGAAAGCAGAATTTTAACATCAAAAGAAGCTAATTTAAAGATATAGTACGTGGATCCTCAGTTTCTGGAACTAGATTTGGTGTTTGGGGATTCTTCCCTGAAGTATTTAGCCACCCAGTGTTGATTTTAGCAAAGGATCTAGGAAAACTGTTGATATTTTATGTGCAGAGTATGATGGCTGGAGGAATAATGGCTGTTTTGGATGACAAAAGTAAAATCTAAAAATGTTTCAATAAAAATTAAACTACTGTTAAATTTCCAATAATCCTTGGTTGGGAAGTGGAGACAGAGCAAAAGAAATGAATGGTCTTCTGTATATACTATTTTTGTATATGCTTTTTTTTGTATAGACTTCTATGTATGCTTTAGTTTTGTATGGAGAACATAGTTTGAGAGTTATTGGCAATAATTATGTCTATAGAGGGCCGGGGATTTAGCTTAGTGGTTCCGGCGCCTGCCTTACAAGCACAAGGGCCCGAGTATGTTCCCCAGTACAAACAAACAAATGAACAAGCAAAAAACAATTATTATTATTATTTCTATAGAAAGAAAGTTGTCTTCTATGTGCTAAATATTTTAACCTATATAACTATAATAGAAAACGTTCACAAATTTGCATATATAAGGCAAGCCATAGATTAATAAATATATTATCAATATATTTAATAAATATATTGAAAATAGAAAGAGCAAAATATATGAAAGTAAATATAAGATTACAAAATCAAGACTTTAAAAATTCTATGATTCTCATTATAGACTCCATATTTGTTTAAAAATATTTCCAGTATATCATATTTATAAAAACTATCAGAAAATGAGAAATGTTTCTAAAATCTTAAGTTTAAAAATAGAAAAGCATACCACAAGTTACTTAAAAGTTAAATATAGTAATAGTAATATTGTGACATAGAAAATTGATTTTACTTTTTGATTAATCTGTATTACTGGTCATTTTATTTATACCTGTATCAATTTAATTTCAGGTCTTAATTTAGTATGTCTTAATTTATTTTTAATGTCAGTACATTATTTTTAAGTTTCTGCTCAATAATTATGTTTTTATATAAGCCACATAAAGTAAACAAAAAATTTGGCTTACATTGTATACACTGTGAGTACATTTTTTGCTAATTAAACCACTCCATATGTAGGAGCCCAAAATAGGATGGCATGTCTACTAATATACAATCGTAGCTTATAAACTTCATAAATTCTCATCCAAGTACAAGAATAAAAGTATTACATATTTCAGTTGCATTTGGTGAAAAGCACACTATAGCTTATTGCTAAGTGGTTCTCCTGAAAGATGTCTTGGTACAGTATAAAAGTCTTTGGAGTAATACACGGAGGATATAATCTCAGTCCTACAATTCACTCTATGCAATTCAACTAAATAATTTAAGATTTCGAGCTTCATTTCCTCACACAAAAATTGGAGGAAGCTTGTATTATGAAGTTTGTAAATCTACCATTGATTCCCAATAGTGTTCATAGTATAGTTCTTTAAATATTTTGGTTCTCTAGAATCAAAATTTTCTTGTTTTTCTCTGAAACACAAAATATAAATATGATACAATGTAATGTCAATTGGTTGCTTCCTGAAATAAACTCTGATTAGGATAATGAATAGACTTGGTGTCCTAAGAAACAATACTTAATGGACCTCATAACTTCCCCCCAATTTTTTGATTCATTACATACATTAGAAAAAAATATTTAGTGTCAATAAATAAAAGGTGCTAAAGCTTAAAATATACATTATAGTTTAGTAGATGGAAGGGTTCTATTACAAAGACCTATTTCCAAAAAGAAAAGTCTGCCTTGTGAAAACAAAATTTCACTACTGAAGTTTTCATATAGAAATGTAATAATCATCTCTCAAGTATACTACAGGTGAAATATTGCATGTGATAATAAAATTAGTATATTATTGAATTTTTAAGCAATATATCAAGTTTTTCTTTTCCAAGGTATAAGGAGCAATTACCAAAAAAAGTGTATCAACATTAGTTGTAAATATACACATCATCAACTCAACATAAGTATTGTAAATATACTTGTTGCTTTCTAAACAATTCCACTGGTCATTTTAATAATTACAGAATGCCAACCACAGTGATAAAAGTATTACTGGTTGCAGTATTTGGTTGAAAATATTTAAGAATTTCTTTTTCCTTTATGACTTTTTGAATTTCAGGAGTTCTAGTCTATTTCCCTTCCTTCATTAATTTTCTTTGAATTGTACCTGTACAAAGGTTACAATGAATCTGAGACTAGCAGAATCCACTTGAAGATCTTTTTCTTTCCAGAATTACCTGATATTTAAGCTTGAGCACATTTATGGCTGCTAGATGTTCTCTGCCTTCCTGGGTCCCGAGGGACCTCTCTTTTATTAGGCAGGTGTTGTTTTTAGCTTAGCTATTCTGAGGAACTAATTCTAGAGTCACTCTTTGAGTGCAGCATCTGCAATGAGAATACAGTTATACTCAACATGGGAATATCATAGTAAGCATGATGGTACAGTTTAAGAACTTTAGAGATAGGGTATCAATTAGAATAAAATCAGAGTTCTGGAGCAGCAAGAGCGATTATACTCAAGACAGTGTCACTTATAGCTACAATTATGTAGACACTATTTAATTGCTTCAAAATGAATAGTTCAAATCATTTTTATTTTTAATGAATTTGATGCTTCCATAAGAAAATTGTAAAAGCATCTTGATTTCTGTGATGGTATTAACCCCCCCCCAAAAAAGCTGGAAAGTATGTACTAAGTGAAATAATCACTGATTAAATTAAGAACATTTGGGAGTAAGTGAGATCTACAAAAATAAACAGAAAATAGAAATAAGAGCAAAAAACTCTAGCCAATAAATACCATCCAAGTTAAGGTTTAATTAAGACTGAATTTTACAAAGGCTCTTGTCAGAAAAAAGCTAAATTTTTTAGCAGAGTTATGGAGAGAGAGAAAATGTTGATGATGTTTTTATTATAGAAACTGGTCAAATGCAAACACCTGGAAGATATTAATTTTGGCTCTGTTTATTCACTCTTACACACAATGAAAGAAAACCTTCCCAATGTGGTGGAGAGAGACCATGGGGAGGAGCTCTAAAAAAACAAGTGGGAAAGGTAAGGGAAAGGAAATAAGGGAAAAGAAAAAAATATGAGAAAATGAAAAAATGGAAATACAGTGTTTCTAAATGGGGAGGAAGTAGGAGGTAAAGGGAGGGCAGGGACAAGGGGAAAAAATGAGAACCAAGACCTGTCATGTAAAGGTACAAGATCCCAGTAATGAATGTAACTGTACTGTATACCAAGATTGTAATAATAAACTCAATAAAAAGAAAAAAATATAAATAAAATACGTGTCATCCCAGAGTGACGCTTTTTTTCTGTGCAAAGAACACTTAAATTACCAAATCTTCAGTGTACCATCACGTATTGTTAGCTATAGTCCTAGTTCTGTACATTAAATGTCTAGATTTATCTTCTGCACACTTAGACCAGCTTCTCTCCATCTCCTTCCGTGACCCTTGGCAACAACCTTTCTTCTCTCTGTTTCTATGTGTTCTGTATATTTTATTTCTAGAGGTTAAAAATATTATGTAAATATTTGCTTTTCTGTGTTTGGCTCATTTGCCTTAATATAATGGCCACCACGTTCATCCATATTGTCACAAAAATCAATTATCTTCTTTGTCTTAAGGTGAAATAATATTGCATAAAAACCATAAGCCTGATTAGATCACTCCCATGTGTATAATTTCTATTTTCCTCTTCTGATTTTTAGGATAAAAATAAATAAGCTTAGCATGCCCTTCCCACACCTGCCTGCTACCCATCTTACTCAAGACAATCTTCAGTACAGTATCTGTCCTCTAGGCTACAAAGGTACCATTGTTTTAAGACTCACATTTGTTCAAACACATGGTTCTCACCCCATGCAACATCACCACCACCTTTTCCACAACCACTTTGTCTTTCATCTGCTAGTTAACTTGATTTACCACTCCATCAGATGTCATTTTTAAAAGTAATTTCCTTGGTTCTCCAGCCTACATCAAAATATTGTTAGTTTCCTCACAGAAACTCCTGAATGACATTTACTATCCAGTAAAAGATAATCACTTAAGTATCAGTTAAATTATATAGCTTCCTCCAGATTATAGTCCCTCTGAAGCATACATTCCTATTTGCTTACTTTTCTTCAGAGTCTATCACAACTCGGCACTTAAATAAATACTAGTAATGAATATACAAAAAAACGTATTTCTTTTTCAATTAGAGTGTTTTAGAAAGTTTTCAAGGATTTAATTTTGTTGTTGTTTTTAATTTTGTTGAACAATTTCAATTCAGTAGTCAATGGTAGGTAATCTGTAAATTATTTTTTCCCCATTAAGTTTATTGGTACATTTAAAGCAAAAAAAAAACAAGTTGCATTTATTATTGGGATCTTGTACCTTTACATGATATGTCTTGGTTCTTATTTTTTCCCCATCCCGCTGCCCTTTCTTTACTCCCTTCACCCCTCCCTATTTACTAATGCTTTGTTTCCCTTTTTTTTCCTTTTTTTACATTTTTCCCTTATTTCCTTTCCCCTCCCCTTCGCAATTCCCTTTTAGCCATATTCTTCCTATTTCACACTATCGATTATGCCATTTCAACCTTATTTACACTTTTAGTAAACTCTTAAGTGAAATACCTAGGGCATACTTGAGTAAATACCACATAGCTTCTCTGGTGTGATAATCTGTAAATTCTAACCCTGCAGCTTATATTTCCACACTCAATATATGAATGACCTTGGTATTTGTCAGGAAAATAACTGAATTTAATGATTAATGATAACTCCACATAAGAAAAATAGTACAACCTGAGGTCCAGAGTGGGAAAACTGCCATCAAGAAAAAGCCAACCCAGTGGCAATAGTAACTAAATTCTATAACTGTCTCGATGACGCTCTCCTCTTCATCCTGTGAGAGAGCTGTTCCTACTGTCCTGACATTTTTCTTTAGCACCTTAACAAATAGCTTTACAATAGAGCTGATGATTTTAATTCACATGAGTCAATTATAACTTTTGCCTGAATAGGAGTTCTAAAATATTACAGCTAAATACTAACATCTCATGTTTGTTCAATCATCAAGAAAGCATTCATCAAAGAAATATATGCACAGAAGACCAAGAAGTATTCAGTATAAAAAGAAAATAAAGAAAGTCACTAACCATGGGATTAATGTTTTTGCAACAACTCAAACTAGATTTCACCACATAGTTAATATGTGATCTTGGAAAAATTATTCAATATCTGTGAGCCTGAATATCCCTCATCTATAAAATCAGGCTAGTTCTTACTCTGATAATTATTACAACCCTACAATTGAAATATGCATACACACACACACACACACACACACACAAATATGACCCAGATTGGCATGTAGTAAGAATGCAAAAGTATACTTGTCATAATTTTAACTAATGACTATTAAGGGCTTGCTATGTGGCAGTTTAAAGACTGTGTTGTTTTCACTCATTTAATTGTCGGAAAAGAGACATTATAATCATCTTTTCATTGATTGTAGAAAATCCTAGAATATTATATCACTTAGCCTGTGCACATAGAATTAAGAACCTAGTGAATAATGAATTTAAACTCTGTGTCTTTAGCCAAGTTGGTTTAACGTTTATATTAAAATTTTAATTAGCAAATAAGGCATATGAAGAATTAAATAAAATATATCAAGACATTGGTATAATAGTGCCAGGGAGAATTTTTAGGAATAGTGAAGAGTTCAATTTTCCCTATAAGGATTTGAAATAGAAGTTGTATCTAAAAGTGACCAGTTCTTCCCAAGAAGTAGGGATAGATATGAGAGAATAATTCTTGACAAAGACAGGAAGACGTGAAAAGAAATATTGGTTGAAAACAGGTGTGAATTTTCATGACCGGGAAGGAATGTGCAAGGGATGAAGATAAACAGTAAGAGATATCGGGAAGGAAGAATTACAACCCTTGAATTTGATTTCATGAGTTTTGCATGATATATGGTTATATATATATATATAAAATCATATATATTTGATTTCAATGGCAAGGACACACTTACATACTTATAGTAATTAAAACTAATACTTTGAAAATAACAGTTTAAAATTTACACTGTAAAGTGTCGAAGTAGTCCCCCTAGATTGAATGCCAAAGCAATGAAGGCAAATGAGATAAAAATAATAGTTTAAAACTTGTAAATTACTCTAAAGATAGCATCAGACTTAAGAAATGCAGCATTTATTGAGTCCTTCTGGAGCACTTTCCACATTATATGACTGAAGCATTTGATGGGCAAAATTAGATTTGTTAAGGGATAAAATTAGTCATCTTCATCTCTATAAGTTAATCTTTAATATTTCCTCAAAACTCATCACCCCAAAGCTTAAACAATTAATTACAATAATAGACTAATACCCTTAGTAAAATCAAAGATGTACTTGTTAAGTCCTTACTCGCACATGATGGGCTTATATAAGCCCTGAACATAAAGTTAATTTTGCTTTTAGTAGACTCTATGATATATGTCAAACAAGCCAATTTTTAGCTACAGTTTTAAAAGAACAATATTAAGACACTCGGTGGACAGAAAATATTCCATAAACAATTGCTAGTTTAAATCATTATTTTATTGATTATTGTATTGCTAACCAATTTCACTTTGAAGGTTTACAACTTTTACTGTGCATCCATTTGTATGAATATAGGCATACAAAGTCCTATATGCATTCAGAGTCCACCAATTCAGTTTTATTACCTCATTTGCAGAATACTGGAAGAGATCATTCATTTTTCAATTACAGATTGTTCATGGGGTTTTCAAAGATTTTCATAAATTTCTTTTATTTTCAAGCCTTTCCTATTGCTAAGTATATTCTGATGCCCAGTTACATAGCAAGATAGTAACAGCAATGAGCAAAAGGTGGCTCATTTTCCATTCATGAAGTTTTAATTACATGCTCTAAAATTTAGGTGCATAAAACTTATACTGGATAATTTCATCAGACATGGGGAATTTATTTTCTACTTGGTCAACCTGCCCATTAAAAGTAAATAAAGCTCCTGAGTTTTACCAAAAAAAAAATGTGTGTATAGCAAGATAGTAACAGCAATGAGCAAAAGGTGGCTCATTTTCCATTCATGAAGTTTTAATTACATGCTCTAAAATTTAGGTGCATAAAACTTATACTGGATAATTTCATCAGACATGGGGAATTTATTTTCTACTTGGTCAACCTGCCCATTAAAAGTAAATAAAGCTCCTGAGTTTTACCAAAAAAAAAATGTGTGTATATATAACAAATATGACATCATAAGTCATAAGGTTTTACCCTTATAAAACCAAGAACACGGTCTCGAATCTTCTTTGTTCTCATGCCATAAACAATGGGATTCAGAAAAGGTGGTACCAGAAGGTACATGTTGGCAATGAAGATATGAACTTGAGGTGCGACGCTGTGGCCAAAGCGATGGGTCAGGAAGGTAAAAACGGCTGTGGAATAGAAAATGAGGATGACACAGACATGGGAGCCACATGTCCCTAGTGCTTTCAGACTTGCTTCTCGTGATGGGAGACGAAAGACTGCACGGAGGATAAGAACATAAGACAGTGCAATGAAAAAGCCGTCACTAGAACCAATGACAGAGGCCACACTGAGGCTGTAACGCGTGGTTACTGTTGTGTCTACACAAGCCAGCTTCACCACAGCCATGAACTCACAGTAGGTGTGAGCAATGATGCGAGTTCTGCAGTAGGGCAGTTGCTTGAGTAGGATGGGGTGTGGCGTAAAGAAGGCCACTCCCCGCAATACCACAGCAGCTCCCACTTTGGCAAGACGGCTGTGGGTGAGAATCACGGCATGACACAGTGGCTCACAGATGGCCACATAGCGATCGATGGCCATGGCCAAGAAGAAGCCCGATTCCATGGCAGTAAAGCTGTGGATGAAGAACATTTGAGCCAGGCAGGCATCAAAGGCAATGTCATGGGCCCCGAGCCAGAAGAGACAGAGCATGCGTGGCAGCGTAGATGTGGAGAGGACCAGGTCAGTGAGTGACAGCATGCACAGAAAGAGGAACATGGGTTCGTGGAGGCTTCTTTCTGCTCTCACCACAGCCAGGATGGTCAAGTTCCCCACCACAGCCACCACGTACATGGAGCAGAATGGAATCCCGATCCAGATGTGCATGTGCTCTAATCCTGGGATGCCCATCAGGAAGAAGGTCGTTGGAGATGCTAGCGAGTTATTGGCTGGTTCCATGATGGTGTTACTCCTTCTCCTCTACAGATGGAGCTTTCTTGTTTAGGGCCAATATTTTCTGCCAAGATCATTCCAACCAAATATGAACATACTTTAAAACTGAATCTGGAATAGCACACATTTTCATATTAGGAAACAGTCTAATTTAGAGTTTATAAAACTCGTTTATAATATGGGACAAAAACTATACAGTAAAACACAAAGTACTTTTCAGAAACTTTTCTTAAATTTCATGAATTTGTTAAAATGAACTCATTTAACTATAGAACAGTTCACGATCATTTTCTGAATTCATCATATGTTTTGTTCTTTAGAAATTTTAAACATCAGATTTTATAAATGGTAAATGTCTTAGAATTATTCCTTTATCATTTCCTCTCCACTGTCATCTGGTAAGTACTCATTGACTCATGGCACGCATGTTAACTTTCGTGATCACTTGTGTAGACCCTATTTTTGGGAGATTGAAGCAGTATTGGTCCTGTCCTCTGGAGCTCAAATTACTTAATGGGTCTTGTGTAGTCATCCATCTCCAAATTTGATGGTAACATTTATGTTTCTACCAACTTATGCCTTTTTCCAGTGAAAAATTCTCAAATTATATATCCACTTATGTTAGTAATTTGTATTATTTTATACAATACTTCAAAATCAATTTGGTGGCATTCATCACTATTTCTACCTTGATCCTAACCAGTATTGTCTTCTAATTTGTATGTATGTGTCCTATATCTACATAAATGTAAGTAATTTATCAATAAGTCAGGTCAATAACAGTTTTCCTCCAAAAATCAGACATATCCTGATAACAACATAGTCTACATAATATGGATAAATTATAAAATGTGGAATTTAATAATAATGGAAATAAAACAGCCTTGTGTACTTTTTTATAATTTATAAAATCTGGCCAGATGTCTAATAAAGTGGAAAAAAATGTTATATTATCTTGTCCTGGGGAAGGAGAAGAGAAAACTACATTGAATGTAAATTATCAATATTCCTGGTGTTATTTGGAAATCTCTGCAGTTTAATCTGGCTTTATAAAATAATCGTTTCGATTATTATATTTCATATGCAATAAAGTTAAATAAACCTAAAAATCATCCAATTTTATCAATAATAGTACACTACTGTTTCTTGTTTTCCTTTTTTATTTCTTGTTATTTTCTGCAGTTTCTTAACTCTGCCCTTTGGTTAAATACATTAACAACAAGGTTTAAATATCCCTAGACATATAGGAATTATATCTCATTATTACACAGTTTCATAATCTGTAGAGTAGGGACAAAAAAGTTGTTAGGAGGATTTAATTAATTAAAATATATTAACAACTTAGAAACCACCTTACACAAAGCAATAAGTAAGTCATTGTAATTTGTTCATTATTCTATTATATCATAGGTAATGTGGACCAAGAAATTATCCAGGCAAACACATAATGTAACTGAATTTGTAGTATAAATAACAAAATAAAACATCCTTCTGGTTTTTGCTAACTATTCTTCTTAAACCTTTTGTAAAGTAAGATCAGAGTTCTATTTTCTGAACATACTGTGCTACTTGGAAAAATCATGCCTCTTAACACATATATCTTGTCGGCAATTAACGTTCACCATTTTATTTTCCTTTACAAACTACTGCTAGTCCTGTAGCAGTTAAGTCCGATGGAATGTCATCTATATCTCCTAGCTGGATGCCTTTTAGCAAAAATATTTGTTATATTCTATGCATTCATTGAACCCCTTTTTTTCTCAATGTGTGCTAGGTTTATCAAATTGTGACACACACGCATACACTACACACATATTTTTCCCAGTGACATCTGAGTCTCTCATAAGATTAAATTGTAGAAACTCTAGCATGCCTGAATAGCTCTGACCCAGCAAGAAGATGAACAGTGGACCCTTCACAGTAGTAGGAAAATACAAGAAACTGCACACTCTGTATGCCTCCCAAGCCATGTACTTAACTGAGGTGTTTGTGTGTGTGTGTGTGTGTGTGTGTGTGTGTGTGTGTGCCTGGATCAAACTCGGGACCTTGTGCTTACAAGGTAGGTGCAATGCCATTAAATTAAATCCCCAGCCCTTTACCTGCCTTTTTAAGCTGCATCCCAACACTCTGAGAAGTCCAATGGTATTTTTTCTTTTGTTTTTGTTTTGTTTTGTTTTTTGCTTTTTTTTGGTGTGGTGGATCAAACTCGGGTCCTTGTGCTTGCGATGCAAGCGGCAGAACCACTGAGCTAAATCCCTGGCTCTTCCAATGGTATTCTTAACATTTGCATAACTTAACATGAAATACTTAAATGTCTGATTTACAGAATTATGCTGCCATGTCTTCCAAAGGTGGAATTTTAAAAGGATTTTGTTCTTTGAGTAAATTTTAATCACTTGTCCAGCCACATTTATGAGACATTGCTCCAGAAACAAGGGATCTTTTTGATGATGGATCCCAGATAAACTGAAGTCATGAAGATCTTGACTATCTAGACCCCACTTGTAGAGAAACAAATATATTCGCAAATTTCTGCTGGTTCCCAGATCTTTCTAAAATTAGCTTATTAGTTAAGAGAAGATTTTACCTCCTTGGGAGAAAAACAGCCAGATTTAGTACATCAGACATTTTTTATGTGGAATCAGAAATTAGGATATAATGCACACTCAGTACGATCCAAGTACACAATCAATGTTCTTTTTTAAGTCTTTAGTTGCATTATCATTGCTGCCTCAATGTCCTGAATCAAAACATTTGCCTTTCCTGGTCATTTTGACTTTGGAGAAGAGCCAGAAGCTGCACAGTGAGAGATTCAGTGTATAAATTTCATGTGGACACATCGCGGTATTTTCACAAGCCCGGCTCTCTGCAGGATGGCACAGTGCTGCAGCTTTCACCAGTTTTTTTTTTAATCACACCTTGTAAAGACATGCACGAAGTGGACTTCCTGACACTCTTCAGAAAGCGGTGAGAATAGTGGCATAAGTGTGTTTGAAAGGAAGTATTTTGAGGGAGACTAATGGCAATATTTTTATTACATCTCATCCATAGATCTAGGCATACAAGAACATTTTAATTTTTAAAATAGTGTAAGGGCTAATTCAAGTACATTACATCAAGACTTCCATAAATTTTAATATGTACACACCCATTTAAATAAAATTGTATTTCAAAATACCGACAAAGTTTCTGTTATACCTATTATATCATAACCCTGATATTTTCCAAAGAGTAACTAGTGTTTTTAGATTTTAGACTAGAGCTCAATTTGGGGCAGTGAAGTAGTCAGCAAGGAGATATAAAGGCCCTTCTTTTAAAACATACACTCGAGAAAAATTTGTCTAAAGAGTTTCATTCTCCAATTCTTTGCACACTTTTTATTCTCCCTTACTTCCATCTCTACATGAGATTAACTAGCTTGATTGTTAACCATGTCATTAACAAAAATCCCTAATAATATGTTTTAAAATTTATTTAAAACAATTTAGGACAAAAAGAATTATACATATTATTGAGGTGATGAGATATGAAAATTGAAAAAAATGTTTAAATTAGGGCAAACATATATATCTTCTCAAGCATTTATTGTTTCCTAATGTAATAAACTTTCAACTTCTAGTGTTTTAAAATAATAGTAACTGTAACTGAAAGAATGTGTCTATCTGGTTTGTTTTTTAAAGAAAGGAAGTAAGTGAAATTGCTGGCTAGAACATATTGCCGCCCATCTAATTACTTCAAAAAATAAGACACTTGCCCATATTACTTGGAAATATTCTTCTTTCTACATGAATTCCTAGGATTGATCAACCTCTAAAGTTGAATAGAAGGGGACTGGGTATTCTTTCTTCACTGCTGTTTTCATCCTGTAACCTGTCTTGGTCCAAAAGTTCTAGTACTATTTTCTGTATAATTGGGAGTATCTATGACTCCATAATTTAGCAATTAAAAGAGGTGGCTATATTTATGTCTGCTATAGGAAGATACAGTTCTTAGCATGAGTATTGATGGTCTTTGTCCTATGGGTGTTTAAATATTAGAATATTACCTTTTAGAAGATTTCATGATTCTATAAACTTAAATGACTGACTGAATGTAGCTTTCTTCTTTTTCTGTCCTGTATCTCTGACTTTACTCAAGTTAAATCCATCAGTCCTCTTGAGAAGCGCCTTCTATAAAGAGCAATGCAAAGCCTGCTTAGCTAACACAAGCTGGAGTTGTGGTTTTTGACTCCATATTGCACTGAATTAAATGTTCTAGGCAGTCTGAAAATTAGTGACCCTCTGGGAAAAGTGTTGATTTCCTAAACTACAAGAATCTATCTCATTTTGAGACAGTGTAATTCACATGAATTATCTTTTAAGATAATGAAGAATGACACTGTCTTCCAAAGTAATTCTGCATGTTTTTATATGAAATGTATTTGCTGTATATGGCAGAAGAAAATAAGACCACAGTATCTATGAAAGGTTTTATAATTATGTACTTTAAGTCTATCATTTTCTAGTCCCTAGGATTACTGCTTAAAATCTCTTCTTCAATTGATTTTCAAAGCAGCTTTAGGAAATATAGAATTACAGTTCAGCAGATGAGGAAGAGGAAAAAATAATGAAATTAAACTTTTATTCAAACATTTCAGTTACATTTTTATATAATTCTCTGGCTCAACATTTTGTTTGCTTTACCACTGTCTGACTGTGATTTCCAAAATGATGCATTTTTTTTCTTCATTAAGTTTATTGTCAAGTTTTAGCTATACAGTACAGTTGCATTCATCACTGGGGTCTTGTACCTTTACATGACAGGTCTTGGTTCTCATTTTTCCCCATTCCCCTGCCCTCTCTTCATCCCCACCAGCCTTCCCTATTTACAAAGACTTTGTTTCCATTTTTTCCTAAAGGTTTAAAGGACTAGGAAAGATGATGTATTCTTAATTAAAGTCTATGCTTTTTGCATAATTTGCATTATTTTAACTGATAACATCTAACCTAAACAGCAAGTATCTGTGCAATCTGACTCTAAATCGGTTTCTAACATGATTTTGCTGTCCAACTTTATACTGACAAAGCATCATGAGGAG